GAGAGAGAGAGAGAGAGAGAGAGAGAGAGAGAGAGAGAGAGAGAGAGAGAGAGAGAGAGAGAGAGAGAGAGGGAGAGAGAAATACCTTTCCTCTGGGTTTTCCTTCTCTGGGATTCTCGCAATTTTTGTAGAGAGTGAGCCATATGTCCTCCGGGTTTCCTGGGTTGTCCAACAACCCGACTAGCTGCAGCCGAGCCTCGCCAATGAGCTCATCTGGTGTGCCGACTTCTTTATCGAGAACGCGGACCGTTAGACTCTGGGTACGAGGATCTTGGACCTTGATTTCAAATCCTTCGTTCCAAACAGGATCAAGCTCATTGTCCTGATCCACAAGAGACGACAACAAATAGACAAAAACACACTTCCGTCAGATAACAAGCAGCCTTTCAGAAAATGTGCGTGATGGACGGGAGACTACAGGTGTGACTACCTTCTTCCCCCAAATACAACGTACTGTCAATATAGCTGTATTTTGGCTATTTCTCAGTCCAAATACAGCTATAATGACCGTACGTTGTGTTCGGGGGAAGAAGCTGGTCTGGGCCCAGGTGGGCGTCGGGGTGCCTGCGGGAACGGCAGCCCCTGCCCCGCGGCACACAAAATGAGCGTCTGCGTACATAGGTAGGTTTCCTAGCAGGGGGTCATTATGTGTGATGGACAGGGCGGTACTGCCCTGTCCGACGATACACTTTTTTTTCTTTCCTGGCCGCTATGTGTACCCTCGGACAGGGCGGGTACCAGGCTTCTCCGTGGCATCCCCCCCCCCCCCCCCCCCCCTTTGCAGCGGCTTGGGCTGAGGGGTATTGGCCTTTCTTAACTCTGCTTTTTCTTCTCGGCCTTATACTCTGCTTGCCGGTGATAAGCAACCGGACTGTAGCTCCGCAGAATAGAAAGGGCAAGTGTTTGGGAATGGAAAAAAAAAAAAGGAAAAAAAAAAGAAGAAAATCATAACGAGCAGCCTGAGGGATGGCTACCTACCATATCCGAGGAAGGTTGAATGTTCGGTGAAGTTTCTGGGATCTCGGTGATCTTGGCGGTTTGCCGTTGGGGGTGCTGTGAGAAATTCATCGAACCTTGGCATTTAGAGGAAGGAGAGGTCTTAACAATATTTCCGCAGGTCAACCTGCGGAGGAGGGATCATTGAAAAAAAAAAAAAAAAAAAAAAAAAAGAGCAGCCAGTCAAATGAAAATATACTAACGACTCGTAACGAGTAACAACAACAAAAAAAAAAAACAAGCAGCCAAATGAATCTTACCACCATTGTGTGAGGACTCGACCCCTCGGCGTACCCGCATAAGGCCCTGTTGCGGGCACGTGCCTGCCTAAGTGAACGCGGGCCCCCCATTTTCCATGAGGCCTCAATTCTTCAATTTCGCAAAGCCCTGGGCGGGTGGGCGCCAGACTGTTGCCACGCGCCAAAGCCCTGGGTGTTGGTTACATCCGCCTTGCTCGTGAGAATCGGACGTATTTGTGAGCCTTCCGGGCTCTTCCAGCAACGTGGTCGATGCAGGGAACACCGACCGCATGTTCGTGCCTGGGTGGTTAGGCAAGCCTGACCAATTCCGTCCCAGGCCACCGTCCGAATGGGCTTGGGCGCAGACACTTTGGCCGAGACTGAAGCTACTGGAAACTCGGTCCCGACGGGAAACAGCAGGCCGAGTGCCCAACACTTTCAATATAGGAAAGTGCCGTGCGCCAGAGAACTCATTCGGGCACTTGCTCGCGGGCTGCTGCGTTAGCGCACGGGTACAGGCACGCGCGGGCGTCGAGAGGAAGCAGGGCGCTGCTGACGGCAGCGCCATAGCCAGCCCATCCATAGTCGGGCTCGGCTTGGACGGCCAGCGGAGATGGCGGTGGTCTTCATGTATGAGGAGGAAGTCGTGGGCAGAGACGACGAGAGAGAGAGAGAGAGAGAGAGAGAGAGAGAGAGAGAGAGAGAGAGAGAGAGAGAGAGAGAGAGAGAGAGAGAGAGAGAGAGAGAGAGACGAGGAGGATGGTGTGAGGGCACATACCTGGTCTTGCCGATGGTCTACAGGGTCAACATCTTCATGCACTTCAATTCTGCTGCTGACGTCAACAGGTTGCATTGTCAATTCGCAGGCTGGTAGGATAGGAGCTGTGTGATCGTAGTCCGGGCGCTGAGCACCACGTAGGAGGAAGGGCTCTGGATACATATGTGGCTGGTGGCAAGAGTATGCTCTCATTCGCATTCGGAATCAGTGCTTTGGTTCTCTGTGGGTGGAATATCAGTGCACTTCTACTTCTGCTTTCTGGACAGTGCTGGACTTCTGGCTTTAAATGTGATTTTGCATTCTGGAATTTCTATCATTTCCTTATCGCTCATTTTCCTTGCAGTTGCTTCAATGCTTCTATATCTTTTTCTTTTCCCTCCTCCTCCTCCTCCTCAACCTCCCCCTACTTCTTCTCCACCTCCTTTGCCTCCTCCTTGTCCTGCCGCTTCTGCTGCTGCTGCTGCTTTTGGTGGTTTGGGGCAACCAATTCCATCTTTCCCTCCCTTCCTCCCTCCTCCCTCCCTCCCTCCCTTTCTCCCTTCCTCTCCCTCTCTCCCTCACATATGCGTTGACATTACTTGGGTGTTTCTGAATTCCTGATCTGAAACTGGTGTCGCCCCTAGACGTGTGCCTTTGTCCATCTCATGTGCAGCAATCAGAAATTTCCCCAAACGTTTCAGAGAATTTTGCTGCATGCTTTAAACCATACTTGCAAGCGGACGCCGTCCGAACGGTTCCGCATGTGCAGCAGACTGTCGGACCGGACCCGCTTGGCGCATGAATGTGCGCCCGACGACCAGTTACGCCCCAGCACAAAAAAAAAATAAAAAAATGGCCCTGTCCGGTCCGGTCCGGGTCCGTCTGGTCCGGGGGGAGGGTGCCGCACGCGGCGAAGCGGACCGGACCGGACGCTCGTCCGGTCCGTCTGCTTGCAAGTATGCTTTAAACTCCACACACACACACAAACAGAAACAAAAGAAGACATGTGGGCCTCATGGGCAATTCGCATATCGTTTGTCCTGCCTTTTTTAATTAAAAAAAAAAAGAAAAGAAACAAAAGCCTACAGCTCATGAACAGAATGAAAGACGGTTGCAAACTTTTCAAGTTTTTTTTTTTTACTTTCTTTTTTTCAAGTTTTTGGAAACCGCAGCTCATGAACAGACGGAAAAATGGTCGTAAACTTTGTACTTTTTTTTTTTTTCTTTCGAGTTTTTGGAAACCGCAAACAAATGAAGGGTGTTCTGCGGGACATCCATTAATATAGGAGCGGTGGAGAGAAAATACTAAAAATAAAATAAAAAAATGGAGTAGCGTTGTTAGTTTATTAAATTATTACTAATTTATTAGTCAATAATAGTCATAGTATTTCAAATGCAGCATACACAATTGTCTCATCTTCTTACCACAGACGGACACATCGTACTTTTCCTCAACAGACCGGGATGACGACGTGGACTGCCGTCTTCAGCCGAAGAAAACGCTCGAGCATTATATCTGCATTTGGGACAACCTTCAGTCCAGATGCAGCGATAATGACCGGACGTTCTATTGAGATGAAGATGGCAGGAGTAGAAGAGGGTTAGTGAAGCGACGGTCATGTTTCGGGCTGAAGATTGGCGGAGCCCCCTGAGGATGGCTGCGGCAGCAGCATCGGGCCTGCCGCTCCTGATTAATCGAATCGCTGCGTCGAGGATGTTGTGCCTGCACGACTCTGTTTTCGCGCTGACATGTCAAGTGCAAGGCCTTTCAGTGGCGTTTATCGAGTTTGTTGCCCCACCAGTAGTGGATCCAATAATCCGTAATTACTTTGATTGATTTTCTGCTCTCAATTTTCAACCTTCATACGTACGCAAACACGCATGTGTGTGTGTGTGTGTATGTGTGTGTGTGTGTGTGTGTGTGTGTGTGTCTGTGTGTGTGTGAGAGAGAGACAGAGAGAAGAGAGAGGGAGAAGCTGCAGTCAAAGCAACGAGTCGTAAACGAAAGTGTGTGCGTGTGTGTGTGTGTGTGTGTGTGTGTGTGTGTGCTGTCTCTTATACACATCTAGATGTGTATAAGAGCCTTTCTTAACTCTGCTTTTTCTTCTCGGCCTTATACTCTGCTTGCCGGTGATAAGCAACCGGACTGTAGCTCCGCAGAATAGAAAGGGCAAGT